AAAATCGATTCATTCAAAGTTATCACAATATTTGTGATTTTCGTTTTAAAAAATCGAAGCCATTATGAAAGAAAATGAATTAATGATAAAAAAGTACTTTTCAAATTTTAAAAAAATCGGTATTTCAAGGCTTTTCTGGGGCGTATAAAACTAATATCAACATTTTGTTTTACTAAACCATTTTTTTTAAATCCGTGTTTTAATGTTTTGTGGCCTTCCCTTGTTAGAGTATCACTTTATTTAAATATCAGTATTATCCGGGAAAATAAATCATTAGAACAGCTAGAAAAGTATGTTTTTTCCAAGTTTAATTTTGAACTGAATTTGTAATTATTAGAATCAATGAATAAATGAAACTGTCAAACAAATCAACATGTTTGCAAATGAATTAGTGCTGAACTTTGGCCAACTTTCAAATTGTCAATAGGTCAATCGTAAATTAATTACCCGTCTGGTTAGAAATAACCGCACCCAATGCCTCACGTTTTCAGCGTTAACATCAGCGAAAATATTATTCAGAAAACTGAAACTTCCAGGAATAACGGTATGTAACATCTATATTTAATAAACATGTAGGAAAGAGAGGGAGAGCATAATCGGCCTGCAACACTATGAATTTTATTTCTGCAAAGTGATTACGTGTAATTCCGACTAGCTCGTATTTTTCCAATAATCTCAGATAAGAAACGGGTCACCAATAATATTAAAACATGCAATAAAATAGATAGTCGTTGTTAAAAGTCGAAATTAAAAATAACCCAGTACGTTTGCTACAAGAGTTGGTGAAATGTTACATGTACTTCAATTAATTATTATTATCAGGACCATTTTTTCCTACGTTTGATGATGAAGAACAACGACAAATGAAATTATAATTAAAAGAGTTGATATTTGCGTATTTACAAAGTTGTAAATAAGATCCATCCTCTGTGTTTATTTCATGAGACAATTTGGCATTTTGAGATCCTATTATCTAATCTCCAAAAATGTTATAATTATCTGGAGTTCTGTATTTATTAGTTTCGTCAATATTGTTATTGCTTGTGTGATATTTTCTTTCATATTGAATAGTGTAGCTAAAGTTTCGCGCTTAAAATTGTGCATTTTGTCCAAATCCAAATATAAATTCTTTATATTGTTCTGTGTAGTATGCGAAATGATGAACCTATAATTTGGTCGTTACCGAGCATCTTGGTCGACTATTTATCGGTATTTTGCCATCTTGAGTGTTGGGTCTGTGTGATTTCTGTAAAATCCAGGCATGGTTTGTAATGTCGTGAATGTTGGGATGCGTGTGTCGACTTTATCTTTGTTTTTTCCTTCGTTGAATTAAGTCTGGGTGTTTTTAATGTGCTGACTTTTTGATCACCGGCCATTTCAAGGATTTCCTGCAGTAGAAGAACCAAGTTTCATACGGTAAAACCTATCTTCTTTAGTATATTATTATTATTTGGTGTGCAAAAAGAGCAATATTTATTTTATTAAATTCAATTCTTGTATTCGGTTTTTTTTTTGGGGGGGGGATTGACCGCAATTCTTGAAAAAATGTCCCTATGATACCATGAGAATAATTTCATAAAATTCATTTCATGAAGCAGTTTTCGAAAAAAAAAAGAAAAATTTTTTCACGACGTAGTGAATTTTTGAAATTATTCGAATATATACCAATAAATATAGAAATATATTTTATAGATTTGTGCCGGCGAAACGGCGCTCAGTTTGATTCAAGCGATAAGCAGTTGGCTCATTTTTTCAAAAAATTTGATGTAGATTTTAACGACCTCAATTTCTACAAAAATTGTATAGGCGACGGATAAAATATGGAATTTCTGTATCGACTTAGTTAAAAAATGACGAGTAAAAAATAGAAAGAAAAAAGATATAAAAATACCGAGTTTAGGCCAAAACATGATCTGGTACGTTGATCTTGTTTTGTTAAAAACTTATTAATTTGAATTGTAATATAATACACCATTATATTACATAATTTATTAATTGTATTAATTGTAATACAATATAATATATCAATACATCTGTTGATAACTGAAAAGGTGTTATTTAATTTTACCCAAAATGCATTCATTTCATTAAAGAGACAAAATAACTGCATTTATTCAATAAATTAGCGACAATGTCTGTGGAAAAATCTTAATTACATATAGATTTTTTCTGAAAAAATTACCCTTATTTCAATACAAATTAACCCTTTTAGTTTCAATTTAATCCTTTTTATTTTCAAATTTACTAAGTTTAATTTCAAATTAAAGCTTTTTAGTTTTATATTATCCCTTTAACAAGATTAAACATGTACATATTTTCGATTGTTTTTTTTATGCGTTGAAAAAAACCTTTGAACTTCAAAATAAATTTTAAACTACCCATTTTTAACATAAAATTGCCACTTTTTAACATTAAATTCATCCTTTTGAATTTCAAATGAGACGTTTTTTATTTCAAATTAACTCTTTTTAACTTCGCAAGAAATCCTTTTTAATTTCAAATTGAACTTTTAAGCATTATAAAAACTTAATGATATATAGATATTTCCGACAAATTAATCTTTTTTTTTTCATTTCGCTCTTTTTAAATTCGAATTAGCCTTTTCTTATATTCAATCTAACCATTTTTATCATCAAATTATAACTTTTTAACATTACTTTCAATTAATTAAGGTTTTTATTTGAGATAAAAAAGTCAGTGTCATGAGCGGGATTCGAACCCACGACCTTCGGCTAGATACGCCGATACTCTACCATCTGAGCTATCGTGACTTCGATCCACTTGGGCACTAACTTCCCATCTCAACCCCATATTTTTGAATTTTCCCTCCTTTTTACCATTTTTAAATGTCGTAATCAGGATACGATTCTCGGCGACAAATGAAATGGCCACGGAAAGCTTTAGTAAGATATACTTCATTTAACTTATTAAATAAACTAGTTTTTGTGGTCCGCTTGACCAATTATTATCTTTAAATTAATTAAGGTTTTTAGTTGAGATAAAAATAAGGGAAGTTAGCGTCCGAGTGTATCGAAGTCACGATAGATCAAGTAGTAGAGTAGCGGCGTATCTAGCCGAAGATCGTGGGTTCGAATCCCGCTCATGACACTGACTTTTTTATCTCAACTAAAAACCTTTATTAATTGAAAGATATTAATTGGTCAAGCGGACCACGAAAACTAGTGAATTTTTAACATTACATCAATTCTTTTTAACGTCAAATTAGGCCTTTTTAATTTCAAATTAACCCTTTTTTTAAGCATTAAAAAAGATATCACATAGACTTTTATCAAAATAACTTTTCTAAGTTCAATTATATTCCAAATTAGCATTTTTAACATCAAATTGGCCTTTTTTCTAACTTCAAATTATCACTTTTTAATGTCAAATTATTCATTTCATTTTCAATTTAACTCTTTTTAGGATGTTGGTATGAAATATAAGTATGTGGAGTAAAATTCCTGTATACTTGATAGATAGAATGTAATTAACTTGTATTGTCCTGAGCGTAGAGGTCAGTAGTAGTGACTACTCGGATATAATGAGTTGTTAAAATTAAAAGTTATACAAAATTACACGTTAAAAACAATATTTCTTCTATTAATTTCGAGATTTTTAAATATATAGATATATAATTATTCAGGAATCTTGAGATGCGGTCTGGTGTGATGTAGGTTCAGAAAAACATTTTCTTTATCGTGCCAACGTATCGATCTTTATTGAGATCATCTTCAGGGCCTGGGATTTACAAACATTGTTTACATTTAACAAATACATGTAGGATGTGGAAAAAAGTGAATTTATACAATGCAAAATATATTTTTTATAGTCAATCAAAGTATTTCTACTCACTCAAAATGTTTGTTTTCTGCGTACTTTGATTGAATATAAAAAAATTTTTTTTTTCATTGTATAAATTCACTTTTATATAGCCCAATATTTATTATATAGCCCAATTATATATCTATATTTGTAGTGATTAGTGACCGTTAGTCGATAATTATTCCCACAGAAATCGTGAGATGCGGTCTGGTGTGATGTAGGTTTCAGAAAAACGTTTTCTTTATCGTGCCAACGTTTTAATCTTTATTGAGATCATCATCAGGGCCTGGGATTTATAAACATTGTTTCAATTATACAAATACAAGTAGGATGTGGAAAAAAGTGAATTTATACAATGCAAAAAAATATTTTTTTTTATATTCAATCAAAGTACGCAGAAAACAAACACTTTGAGTGAGTAGAAATACTTTGATTGAATATAAAAAATTTTTTTTTTCGTATAAATTCACTTTTTTCCACATCCTACATGTATTTGTTAAATGTAAACAATGTTTGTAAATCCCAGGCCCTGAAGATGATCTCAATAAAGATCGAAACGTTGGCACAATAAAGAAAATGTTTTTTCTGAAACCTACATCACACCAGACCGCATCTCACGATTTCTGAATAATTATCGACTAACGGTCACTAATCTCCTCACATATAGATATATAATTGAGCTATATAATAATTTTTTATGGCGTTCTAAGATCCTAATTGTTTTATTCTAAAACGAAGTTTCAAATGTGCAGGAATTTTTCTTTACATTCTTTTATTTCGTTCCATCTTATTAAGTTTTAAGATTGAAAAAACTTTAAACTAAAAAGGAATAATTTACACGTTAAAAAGCAATAATATTATGAAATAAATCTAGATCTTTTTCGTATTGCCTAGTCAATAATTTTATTTATTAACACCCATTTATATTTCAATGCTAGCAATGCATAAGGGGAAAAATCTTTGTTATTAAGAACATTGAAAAATTCTCCTATTTCCAATGTGACCTTCCCAAAATACCTCTATCTATTAAACTACATTTACTATTGTTGCGTTTTTAAAATAACCCATCTATCTCGTTTGATGCCCTACGAGCATTTTGTTTTATTCTTACTCTCTTTAATCATTCTTTAATCATTATTATTGTGTATGTACATAATAGTAGAGAAAGACAGAATAAGACGTGTGCACATTCATGGTACAGGATCATTTCTTCTCGGAGGGGGAATTGCATTTGTCATTTCGTTCAGTCTCGCTCTGTACGCCAGTGTCGCAAGGTAAGATTCTACCGTGAAGAAATATATTTGTATCTTTTCGTATTTTTTACTTCAGAAGATCGTTGTCCCAACCTGTGCGGTTTGTATTTCAGATGAATCTTTACACGGGGATTATTCTGATTTTTATCGTTTGTCAATCCGGAGGTATGACGACGGTGGGATACTGTGAGTTTCGCACGTAAGCTGTTTGCAATAAAAAGCCCAGTTTTACAACTTAACCTAACAATAGTGAATATCATTAACTTTTGTAGGGTGAGTAAAAAAAAAACACATTTTCCAAAAGCAAAATTAAACTTGCTTTCTATTGGGTTGTCCGGAAAATAATGCAGGATTTTAAGTTTTCATTAAAAAAAATCTATATAAAATATTCTGTTTACGTTTACAGGATTACTCATTNAATTATTTTGATTAAAGAACATTGCTTTAAAGTAACTAGTTTCTTTTTTTTTGTTTAATACCAAAATCCTGCATTATTTTCCGGACAACCCAATATTTCCAATGACCCTCTCAACCTTTGACGTCCAGTATGTAATAAATGCTGTTTAGTTTAGTTGAGATTAACAAATCAGTCCCTTAATTTCTGTACGGTTCTTTAAATTTTGATTGAATATCATTTTCTACCTCAGTCTCTCAATTTGTAGTCTATTGCTGATGAAGACTTGACAGAATAAATTAAGAAGGTCTATAGTGTGGGTGCATGGAATGTGTTACATTTCACTCACAAAGTGAGATCGCGGATTGTAATGAAATTTTTCTATTTTGCATTGATTTTTTTAGGCCACAAACCTAGACGTCAAAAAAAATTTGTGTCAAATTACATAGGATTAGGTACCAGAATTTATTTATCAATTCCAAGGGCTGTATTGTTATTGGTTTTAACTTTGTAATTCCGCCATGGCAAAACGATTTAGCAAAAAGTGATTTGTGAGGATAACAAATTAAATAAAGATGCCGGTGGGTCAAAAGTAACATAATTAAAATAATAATAATTTACCTTCTAAAAATGAGAACATTTAAAATTTACTACAATAATACAATTCCTTTAAACAATGGAACAAAAATACAAACTTTTGATGAAAATTAAGTAATTAATTAAACAATGAAAGGAAGGAAATAAAGGACAAACTCACAGGTCTTAGATGGGGGCCAATACCAACACAAAAACCGAAACCTCTCCTTTCTTATCTTTTACCTCGCCTAGGTGGGACACCTCCCACCATGTTAATATTTGATCCTTACATCATTTTTTCGATCTCTGACCGATTTCGAATTTATTGAGGAGCGATCGAAGGGATAAGGAATTGAAGAATTGAAATAATTCTTGTACCCGTGGACCATCCGCCATTGGTTATTAAGCGGGGAACACACTTACCCGATGCAACGCTATGCGACCCGACGCCTTGTCTTCAGGCACTATTTTGAGCAAAATCTTATAATAAATTGTTAGTTCAATTTTATGAGCAAATCCATGAAATAAATTGCTGGTTAAATTTAATTGTTTTAAATAAAGTTATTCCGGTGTTTCCATAAATTCCATTCGCGTGAGAGAGTTTAACAAGATTGCTCTCCCCGTTTATTTCGAAAACGAATGGAGTTATAGAGGCTTTTATGCGTAGCTTATATTCATTTTTGAAAAAAACTCTTTTCCAAAAAAAAAAAAATATATATATATATATTTAATAGCAAAGGTCTATTTTATTTTTAAAATGACTCTCAGCTGTTATTATATTTCGTTGCAGATTTTATCTTTTTAAATTAAAATTTATGATAATAAATGGTCAAATACGCTTCCTGAGCAAAAATGGCGCCGTATAAAATCTCGGCCTTTTAAATCTAAAACAGGGAGGACCATCTTCTTGTTACATAAAGTATACCTCCCTCATGCGTCGTCCGGCGGGCATAACTCAAAAGTGGTCGATCCTATAAAATTTCCTTTCAGTAAAAGTAGCATAAAATAAGCTCTAAAATCGAATTGTACAATAAAACTATGGCATTCTCATTTAAATTAACAAAGTTAGTGTTATTTCGCAGGTAGATGAGATGCTAAATCTTTTACCACCACCCGATTCCTAGCCAAATTTACCTTGGAGTTGTATAAGACTATTTTTTGCTAAAGTTAATAGTTTCCGAATTAAATGGGTGGACTATACAAGTTGTACCTGTATACATTTCAAAATCCCCCTACATCCCTGAGGTACCGGAACATCGACCTTTTCCTGCTGCCTAAATTTTTGAAAATCCGGCGATATTTTTTCTGTTCAATATGATTCGATGAATCAATAGATTAAAAGAGTCAATAATAATACAGAATTATAAGGATGGAAGACAGTGGTGAAAACGAATTAAATAAAGTTGTTTTTTTTACTCACCTCTTTATATTGAATATTTATGACAACGCTAGAATTTCTACATAAAGTTATTTTTTACAGGTTTTCAACTAGACGTACGCATTCTCTGGTGGTATGCTATTTGTCTGATATACAATTAATGATCTGCCTTCAATTATAATTTAAAGTGTTAGATGTATCGACCAACTTTTCACTCAGGAATAATCTTGATTTCGGGATGATCTGGATGAAGCATATTAATTATTATCTGCCGAACTTTAGACCTATTTTAAGGTCATCATCAGGGTGTAAATTAATTACACATTATGATACATATATATTATTATATTGTTGTGACCGTTAGTTAATGATCATCTGAAGATCGTGTCCATCTTGTGTGACGTCGGTTTTAGAAAAACACTTTCTTTAGCGTGCCTACGTTTTGATCTTTATTGAGATCATCTTCAGGGCCTAGGATTTATAAACATTGTTTAAATTTTAAAATAATCAGGCCGAACCATTACTCCTTATAGAAATGTTTTTCTATCCCGTCTTCCTTCCCTACCCTTTCAACATCCAACGTATATAGACATAAAACCAACTAGGCCTTAGACACAAGAATCTTTTCAATTTTTAGTTTATTCTTTTGATGAAAATACTTGCCACTTAGATTAAGGGATCTATAAAATAAATTTGTTATAATACTGATTTTAGTTTTGGTGGAGTGTAATGAGGTATGATGTAATACCCTATCCGAGTTAGGCCTAGTACGCACTGGGATTCTTTGAGTCGACTCTTTGAATCTCCGGAGAGTCTCGGCTGCGTCTAGCCTGAGTCCGGGCTGCCCTGACTCATTGTTGCGATGAATCTGGTGTGTTGCGGGCTAGCATTTTCCAACTCTTTTGAATCCCATCCGATGTGGGATTCTTTGACTCAATGTTGCGCAACATTTGCCAGTGCGGACGTGAATCGGACTTCATTTGTTTAGTTGACGTTCTACTGAGTGTTTTCTTGAAGATTTTGATACTGTCTTTATCATAAAGGTATGTTGTGGAGTACCGAGTTGACTTTATAGTTTATTGAAGACATGCATCCCATCGGTGTTTGTCGGATTATCATTCACGGAATACAGAAATCGGGAATTGAAAAGCCAAACATTGAACGGTTTAACCCAACAATTCAGTGTTTCCGTCGCCGAAATTGAAAAAAATACACCCTTTAAAAGGACAGTTTTTAATGCACTTCCGATTGGATGCACTACGTACAATGCAAAAAAAGAGCAAGGGAAATTCCTGAGAGCTAGTTCCTCCGTCCTTTTCGCAAGCACTGATGAATGTGAACTGAATCTTGGTATGGACACGGTTCTTTGTCGCGGAGGAATTGCGAGAAGAATGCAGTTCTTCTGCATCGCAACAATGAATCTACGCAGCCCCGACTCTGTCCCGCAACATGAATCGATTCAAAGAATCTCAGTGCGTACGAGGCTTTAGAAGGTGTCTGATACCAATCAGTTTGCAATAGTTGCCAATTACTATAAAAAATAAGACTATCAACAGGTGACTAATTTCGATTATGTCAAGAAGAGAGAGAGGACAGAACATAGCAATTGACCAGCAAATGGCTATGGTGGTAAATCTTTCTTGAGCCATACCACAGAGAAAAAATTTTATTCTCATAAAAGAAACGAAATTTTTCCAGCAAATCCATTAGTGATTGGACCCAATAGAAGACAGTTTGTGTACTAAATGGACAAAGCCCTACGACTCCTAATGAGAAAGAAAAAAAATAAAATTTCAATGTTGCCGAGGATCTGTTTTTCTGAAGGTCGACGTAAATTAATGTTTTGTTTTTTATTTCTCATCCCTAATAGTTTTTTAATATGTCATACTCAAATATAAAATTTAAAAAATTATATTAAACATTCAACTATTTTAGGGCAAATTTGAAAGTATGATTTATATAATTTTATTATTTGCTACTTGTTTGATGTTTGTTATATTGATTCTGAAAAAATACAGGTTTTTTTAATATTGAAATACTTAGGTCGTTGTGAGAATTTTTTAAAAAATATTTTTATAACTGTTTACTTGAGTTCTCTTCAGTGCAGGTACATGATGGCCATTGTTTGAATATAAATTTAATATAAATAAGTTTAAAGCACAAAAAAAAGATTAAAAACATGTAGTTTGTTTTACCAATATGATTGCAGCAATTCGACGACTCTGACGCGAATTGTTGCTTCCGGCCTGAAGAAGGGAAACCTATTTTTGACAACAGTCAAAATAAATGCCTCGTGCTTACTAAACTTTTCTATACTGCGTTTCAATGCCGATGTAACTACTCAGTGGAAATACCCAATTGCCCATACGAGTGCGAACAATTCGACTGTCTGGAAAAATCAAGCCTTTATTGCTTTCGCATATTCCCAAAAACGACCGATTTCAGCGCCCTTCTGATCGAAGATAAAAAGGACCAGAAAGCCCTGACGACTCAAATCGGATGCGAAGATCTGGTCGAAACGTACGGACTGACTGGCAGTGGTAACGACATATTTGTGGAATGTTGGACCGAACGGATCGGCCAAAATGACACATTCACGTGCCAGTTGCCTCCAAAAAATTACAGGCATCAACCTAAAAGTTCAATGAATGATACCGGCTCCGTATCGTCATCAAAGATAAATATGAACTTCACCCTTGTACCTCAGGATAAGGGGGTTTATAAGGGAATTTGTGGACTTTGCTTCTGCGACGAAGTTGAGTAAGTGCTTTAATAAACATCTTGAAAACAAATATTAAAACGTATTTGATTATAGGCAAAATCGGTCAGTATTTCGACTATGCCCGTGTGACGTGGACTTAAAAAACGAACCTGAAACAAAACGTAAGTATTTTTTTAAATTTAATTTTTACAATCCAATCATTATCATGTACCAAATCACATTCACAATATATACACGTAATGAATGAAAAAATATTATATATAATAATATATAAATAAATAAAACCTGTAAAATAAAAATAGAAATAAAAAGGACACGTTTTAAAGAAAACCTACACCTTAAGAACATAATCACACCGTAGATGAAGGGTGTCTTTCTGCTAAGTAATTCCTTATAATTATAATGATCAGATGAGTAATTATTTAAACCAATTGTTAATAATATAAAAATATATCAAAATGTTTAACTTTAAATGCCTCCATCCTAATTTTATTTTGTTTGTCATCCCTTAAGATTGATTTTAAATTTATCGAACTAATCTGTAAATTTCATTATCCCCCCCGCCTAAAGCTTTTTCACCTTCTGACGTTCGTTCTACCGTACAACACCTAAAATCAAAGAAAGCTCCAGGTTTTGATCTTATTAGCCTAAAAATTCTCCAACACCTTCCCAAAAAGGCCATCATACTCATTACATACCTATTTAATTGTGTTCTTCGTACGACCTACTTCCCTATAGCTTGGAAGCACTCGTATATTCGAATGATCCCTAAGCCAAAAAAGCCAACACATTGTACTACTTCATACAGACCAATAAGTCTACTACCCACTTCGGGTAAAATTTTAGAAAAACTCCTATTGAAAAGAATTGTTCCGTTTCTAAATTCTCAAAACATAATACCACCCCATCAATTTGGTTTTCGCAACCGTCACTCAACTATCCAGCAGTACACATTATTTCCTCCTCTCATGAGATGAGACAGCACTGTTCTGGGGACTTTCTTGACGTAAGCCAAGCTTTTGATCGAATTTGGCACCCAGGCCTGCTGTTCATTCTCCACGGCATCCTTCTAACCACCTACTATCTAGAACAGTTACCTCATTGACCGATTCTTCCAAGCCATCGAAGGCCATTCCCTCCCTGCATATGTTCCTATCCATGCTGGCGTTCCTCAGGGTAGCGTTCTGGCCCCTGAACTATACCAGATGTTCACAGCTGATATGACATGCCATCTCATCCCGAAACCATTACATTCACATTTACAGACGATACAGCAATTCTCTAGCAACTCCGACCTCGTCATTTCCACTCGAAATCTCCAACATAGTACTACTAGAGTCTTGGTGTAAAAGGAAAAGGATAAAATTGAACACAGACAAATCCACCCACATTACCTTCACTCTGCGTAAAAAGATTGTTTTCTTGTTTTCTTAAATAATATTCCCCTCCCACCTGCGGACAAGGTGCGATACTTCGTACTGTACATCGACAATCGCTGACGTGAAACCTCACACACGACTGAAACGTCAGGAGGTTATGACACGATCTAACTCTTGCGCGACTTGTCGACCAACGTTCTAATTTACCTCTCAAAAATAAAAGGCTGCTTTATAACACCAAAGTTAAGCCGGTATGGACTTACGGACTGGAAGTGTGGGGTTCAGCCAAACATTCCAACATCCACCATATGTGAATACGGTAGTATTAGTTCAAACTGCCCAGTCCTTAATACTACGAAAAATTCTAGATGCTCCATTTTATCGGACCAACTATACATAGAGATTTACATATCCCGTTCGTTCAAGAAGAAATACGTCCGCGTTACCGTAATTTTCATAAAAACCTCCCAACTACTGTAAATCTCGCATCCCGACGAATCAAACCCTCCTCGCTAACTGAGGAGACAATGGCCGCGAGATCTCCTATGAAGTGATGGTGATGATAGTGAAAGTGATAATGGCACAAGTATCAATTAAACAGACAATATTTTAGTAACATTGGAATAATACCAATGGGTGTTTTCTCCACTCTTGGTTTAAATTTTGTACCTCGATCACTGTTACTTGGTACCTATTTAAAGGTAGTTGTATTGTAGTTCAAATTATTTTTAAAAAATCGTCTTCATATCAAGATACACTTCATTATTGGCAAAATAATTACAATTAATTAAGGTTTTTAGTTGAGATGAAAAAAAGTTAATGGCACGAGCGGGATTCGAACCAAAGAAATGAAAAATTGAAAAATGGCAAAAAGGAGGGAAAACTCATAAGGTGGGGTTGAGATAGGAAGTTGATGTCCGAGTGGATCGAGGTCACGATAGCTCAAGTGGTAGAGCAGCGGCATATCTAGCCGAAGATCGTGGGTTCGAATCCCGCTCGTGCCATTAACTTTTTTTCATCTCAACTAAAAACCTTAATTAATTGTAATGATTTAACTGGTCAAGCGGACCACGAAATTAGTGAATTGGCAAAATAGTTTAACTTCACTATTTCAAATACCTTGTCATTTTCGACCTCCTACTATGTTCTGATTGAGTAGTTCCGTCGCTAACACATTCTCGTCGAGTTAAGCTACGGTTTTAATAAAACTTGGTTTAGTCGCATTTCCTGGTTTGGTTCCTATCTCACAAGGACTGCCTTCTCTTCTTGTATTCCCATTAAAGCCGGTGTCTCCCAGGGCAGCATCATAAGGCACAAATTCATAATACACAACCGACATCGTTTCCCCTGACCATATTAAATGCTTTTTTGCTGGCAAAGCCATCTTTCATCTAATCCTGAGCCTTATTTAGCTAGACGTAATAAACAAGTCTATTTAAACCTTAATTTACCAACAACACCTTTTGAAAGTCCACTTGTCGAAACCCATTCCAACCTCTGATATTTTGCGATACCTGGGACTATAGATTCACAAAATACTAACATGGAATATCCTATGTACTACTTTAAAAGTCAGGGAACGAACCTACAAATTACACCTTAGGTTATTTGACCAAGGACTCACACCTCACTGACAAACTCACCATTGATGCCAAAAGTCAATAAAAATTTAAACCTTCATCCCATCCACTGTAACAGCTGTGTGGACCAACATGCCAGGAAATCCAACACGTTTGAAGTAGTTATGACCAAAAGATCCTTGAGAGATTTAACTAACTGACTAAATGTGAGGGATTGTCACTGCTGTTTGACTTCTCTCATCATGTGTAACACGCTGGATTTTAGTAGTCAATTTTCACATTTGTATGTTGCGACTAAAAATCGTAATTGTAAAATTCCACAATGCATTAACAAAATAGATTATCTTATAATGATAATATTGTTGTAGTTATTCTATTCTGTAAATTGTTATTAATTTAAAAAAAAAATCTTAATCCACTCTACTCCACAGACTTGGACAATTGGTTGTCCCACAATACAAATCAAAAAATTTACATTCTGGAAAATATCATAAGCAAATATTGACTAAACACTCATAAACAAGTGCTTATGAATTATGAAACACTAAAACAAAATAATTAGATGTTGATAAAAATCTGGCTGAATTATGACATTTGTTACAGATCTGATGCTATACGTATTGGTTACAACAGGAATAATTTTTATTGTGTTATTAATAATTTGCGGCACGTATAAATTAGTGTCAAAGAAAACTGGAAAATTTCAGCCGGGTAAGAGTTATTTTGTTTTGAATTAGTTTCAAGTATCGCGTATGCGATACATTTGATGCATTTTCATGTTTTTTGTTTGTTTCTTTAAATTTCAGTTTCAAAAATCGAAACAGTTCAGATGTAACATTGGCTGAAAAGAAAAATCTGCCAACACTGCTGTATGTTTTCTCATTACTGACATGGATCAAAACTGTCCTGATTTTTTTTTTTAATATAACTTTTCGATTATTATTTACCCTTCATAAATCCGTCATGAATTATATTTTTTATTAGTAGGTATAACGTATAATTACCGTTAATTTTAGTACCGACGGCTATTATCATGTTATGTATTTATTGTTATGCTAATAAACTATTGTACGATTTGTTATTTTGTCATTTTTTTCTAAAGTCATCCTGTGACATAATTGAGTTTAACACATCCATATTTATTCTAAAAAACACATTTAAATTGACAAACGTCAACTATTTTTTTTAAATATTTGGAATCTCAAAGGTAAGTGATTGAACATTTCAACCTCCACCACCTGCTCTGTTCAGATCTGTCAGATTTTGAAAGCCTTGCTTAAGACAGCATTTCTTCTCGAATTGTAAGGACGAATATCTCTGTAGGTCAAAGAGTTTGTTTATTAATAAAAACACACAAAAAATATCATATGGTAAGGACCCATAGACTGATGAACCAAGGCCTAACCCTGTCATATATTTCTGACGAGTGTTGTTCACTTAGCCAACCCTTCAATCCTACAAAATCTCATTCCTTACCTATCTGGGTCAACTATTCATCTGCGGCGACTACATCCCCAATGAAACAACCCGTACGGACTGTGGAGGTCAACCAAAAATTCCATCATTGCATTAGGTTTCCCGATCCAAAAATAGCACGTACTTCTACGTATCCAATCCATAATGGAACGTTCTTTTTGTGAAAGATTACGCGTAAAAAATCGTTGTACAGAACGTCCTGTATATCTATGTTATTTTAGGATATTTTTGTAAAAATTTACCTTTGGAGCAGAAAGTTTTATATGCTATTTTGAATTTATGGAGGTGTAGTGACTGTCAGGGCCGGTGTTGTTTGGAAGCGTTCTACATCGGTTGAAGGGACTCTGGTGCAGCAGTTTGCCCGTAGCCAAGTCGGCTATGTTGAGAAGGCGAGTTCGAACTTCGAGGTTAACGCTGAAAGTACCCTGGCCATCGTGGTAGATGTTTCATTATTGATAAGCGAGAACTCGGGTTGAAGAGTCTGAAGCCATTGGGGCAGTACTCCTGCTTATATACGCACTGGCTCTGCTCTGTTTCGCACTTTCGCTGCAGAGTAGGGACGAGGCCATTTCAGAACCGGTAGTGACACCTAAAGGGGTACCGTGGTAACCGTAGGTCCCTACTACAGAGGCAAGAGGATGATACGTTTTCGCGTTTCTTTTGTCTCAAAAACATCCTCTCGTCTCTACCATAAACCTGAAACCTATGTCACATCGCAGAGGCAGTGGGAATTGAGAGTAAACGTACAAAAATGTGAAAATATCGCAATCATCCATCGATGAACTCTTAATGAGCACAATATCCAGTGTGTCCTTGAAATAGCCAAAAAGAGGTACAAAATTAACAATTATTACAAACTCTCGAGAAACAAATTTCATTCCGTACCCTTCCATGTTCTCGACAACTAGGCGCCGCATAAGTCACTGGAAATGATTGACGCTAATACATAGAACAGACTACTAATGATTAATTTCTGATATTTTCATATTTATATGTTTTTGTGTTGACTTTCATTTTGTTTTTAAAAAATTATGATATTTACTTAAGCGCAATAATTGGCTTCATAAATAAATAAATACTTTTAAAAATGGCGGTAAGCCAACCATAATATAGTCAGAAGTAATTAAAAAACAATGGCTCCATAAATGATTTTATTAACATAATTTTATTACCCATATTAAATACACGATGAGGTAGAAAATGCATTTCTAATGATGAATATTTACTTTATTTTTTATAAAAATTACTAAGCTTGTTCAAAGTATTAAAGAAGCATAACTTCAAAACTGCCGTTAGATGATTATTCGGATCAGTTATCAAGCATAAGGCATAAGGCATGCGGTAAAAAAAAAATAAGTTAAAACAAAAATACGATTGTAAGTACATTAAGGCATAAGATACAAAGAGAATAAATATATTATCACAATTTGTGACTTACACTCGTCACATCTCAACTTGGTTTGCTTGGGAAACTAAAAAAAAAATATATTAAAGAAATCAAAGAAAAATATTAAAACTCAAATAAATAAAAATGTTTTACCAGGTGTAAAATGGCGAGTGTTCTTAATCTTCAAAACTAATTTATAAGCGATGAATGCTATTATTAAGACGACTATCAATGTTCCTAAAGTTCCAAATATGTACGATACCCAATCTGTAACAAACACCAAAATCAAACACATTTGAGCCAAGATTTTTTTATTGTGCTCACTTACTTTGTTCTCTTTGTAGTGATGACTCTACACACTGACATAGTCGAATAACACTACGGTTTTTATTTAAATCTCTACAATTAAATACATTTAAAATATTTAAAAATTGTTTCTAACAGGTCAATACTTACAGAAAATCGCCACAGAAGCAAAATTCACAAATTGCTGTAGAATTTCCCTTATTCGGGTATACAAAAGTGAAATTCACGCCAGTCGGTGACATGGAGCTACGAGTCTCATTCATTGGAACAAGTTCAATTGAAGAATTCCCCGACGCCAACTGACAGAGACTGTGGACCATTTCACTGTCTAGATTGTGCGAACATTCGAAAAATACATTTGTCGATCGGTCAGTATTCTCGTTCATTTCGACAAATTTTTCGCATTCAGAACGAACGGTGAACGCCTTCTTGCCTTTGGGTAGAAAAATTCTATTAGCTCCGTTGATAGAAAATTCGACCAAATGTTCAACAATGCGATAGCAATCGGGTGTCGCGTCTTCCTCACAAACTGTGCCGCAATAGGTTTCGTTTAGTTTCACTGTGTCCGGATTGCATTGGCAAACATCAGGCTCGACGCACTCGCCGTTCAAGCAACCCATCCTGCATGCAGGTACACAAGTGTTTCGGGTAACGTCCGATAGCTTGAAACCTTCATTGCACCCGCATACATCTGGTACTATGCAAACTCCATTTTCACAGGGCGGAGAACAAATAGGTCTACATTCTAATGGATCTGACCGCACTGTTTCATAATTGGAGCAACATCGTTCAACCTCGATGGTGGAACACCTTATCTGCAACCAATTGATAAAAAATTATTCAAGTACAAAGAACAGGCCGACATTCCCACCATTCTTTCGGAAATTATTTAAGCTTTTTTTGTTGTTCTTTAAGTACTGAAAATTACCAACATAACTAACATTCTACTGAGTGTCTCCATGTCAGTGCGACACCCACTTTTCTCAAAAAACGAAAGGTTATAAAAAAATTTAAATGTTAACCCCACGATTTTCCAAAGGATCTAAAATAGTAAGTGTTGCAAATATTTTTAACGTCACCGTAATATGTAATTGAGTATCAATTTATTGTTTAAATGAGAACAACCAGATACCATTCGAATTTTTATTATTATTTTTCCCGCACTTATCCCACAACAAACAGAACAAAATTTCAAATAATTACATAATTTGTAAACAACGACGTACTCAAGAATGAAAAATTCGTTGCATACACATCACACATTAATACATAATTTAAAGAGTAAATATTCTGTTACAAAACATGAGAACCCACCTTTTCAACCGTATATTGTCCACTTCCATACCAACAATCATGGTCGCAATTTTCCAGTTTCGTATAGGGGATTTCATGGCTGAAAAAAATAAAAATCAAACTTCGCGTTTAAAAACAAAGTATTCAGATATTATATTCAGATGCTATATTATGGAAAATCATGTAATATAATCAACTTAGAGATATTTTTAACGTTATACACCATTAATGCTTATTTTTTAATCTGTGAATATCGAAGGAAAATATGGGGGATTATGAAAAATTCGTATACCTCTCGACGCGTGTGCATATGCCATTATCCCATGTACGTCCGATTGAAACTGCTGCAAAAAGGCAAACTAAAACTGAGTATATCTCCATCTAGAAAATTACAAGGCACTGTTATGAAACGGTGTAATTAAACACTTCCTAGGTCAGTCTGTGTATGTTAGAAATTCAACCAAACTATTTTATGTGTTGTAAGTCTATCAATCCTATTTTATTTTAATAATCCGCTTGAACAATTTCGTTTCTATTCATTAAATTGTACTCAGAAAACCGATTCAAAATGTACACCCAGCAAAAAAAGTTTACATTAGCAGCTTACAACGAGTATCGACGGTCTTAAATACATCCACTGGTAAGTAAAAACGCGAAACTGTGTAATCGGACTTGTCTCCCTTGATATAAAGCATAAGAACGATTTTGGAGGGGGATCCAATTTATCATATATTATGCTTCTTCCTGTAATATTACGGTCACAAAGATAAACGAAGAGGATGTGGATGCGAGGAACGCTTTTTTGATAAACGTTTTCTTCTATCACTCCATGGCGTATTGGCAAATTGTCCTGATTGTTTATTTGCAAAAACTGTTCATTCTAAACTACTTATCGTGAATTAAATATTTATAACGCTTACATTTTTAATCCAAATAATGTAATAGTAAGTTAAACGTGATTTCAAAGTTTAAATACCGAGCATGCTCTTTGGGACTTAACTTCGACAAAAGACTTACTGTTAACCAAAACACACCCGATTTGAAAGGATATAATTGAAAAGATGATATAAACTCATTAAGTATGAGGAAACTCACAATTTACTCATTAAGTAGTTTTTACTGATTAACAGATCGAAACTTTCAGTAGTTTTTCTTTGCTTGAATCTAAAATGTAAAATTGATCTAAAAGGAAGAAATGAACTGTTAACAGGTTTGGGTCTGTTAACAAGCAAGCAGACTATACTCGTTAGAAACACAAATGTCGAACAATTAAAATAAAAAGAGAATATAAGAAAGAAAACTCACTTTCCAGTCGGGTCCTCGAAGCTCCACTATGATTCATAAGGGGAAAAGACAAGGGTGAAAGAAAAACGGGATCGGGCTACTATTTACCTCCATTCCTCGAAGAGCTACTGCTAACAGGCGATCTCACCACGACGATCGCGAGAATTAAAAAAAGAGACAGAAAGAAAACCTATAATTTTTGAAGATTTGCAAAACGGCCGATTTGAACTGTTCGAACAACGGGCGGAGAAAACAGGGCGTAAACATTGGCTGACCACGAGTTGAAATCCCGAAAAGTGGCGTTAACAGTATCCGTGGAGTTTTTGTGCACAACCAATTCTCAAGGAAAAGTAAACATCCTTGAGGTACAAAACTACTCCGCGCGATTCGTGTTAATTCTTTTACTCATTTATCTTCTCTTTTCCCTTCACTTCTTTTTTGTAATCGTGTTTGAAATCCTTAAAAGAGCAATGAGGATCTTTAACGTCCGCACCTAGCCTATTCGGCCTTATCGGACTTTTGTTTGTCAAGATGAGAGCTGACGCAGCTCCACATACGACAGAATGGTGTTACTGCCGCAGCATTGGTGCAGAGGCAGCTCAGCCCCGAAGGCCCAAGACAATCTCACTCCCCATTTGCCCATTCGGAGTGGTCGGGTCTGAATTAAGCATCAGACGGTATGCCGCGCGCATAGGGCTACCTAAGCCGAAATGCATCAGCCGGGTCTCCCAGTTGAGTAGTAGTAACTGGTACTACTACTAGGTATTCAGCCATATTACTTATGTATGTCGGGCTATACGCCCCTCCAAACCGCCGTCGAGGAAAGAGACCATCCCGTACGTACAACTTTACAAACTTATACTACATTGTCCCTAATCGGGCGTATTAGGGAGAGCAGAATAGAAACCTTACACAGATTGCGTGCTCATGGAAAAGTCCACATCTCCCCCACTGCTCTGAAGCAAAACGCAGAGATTCCCCACCCCACCCCCAACGACGACACCGACCAACCCGCAGCACCCTGACAGGCAAGAGCCCCGCATAGGCGCAGCCCGACACACTCCCCCAAAGCTCACATCTCATTATTACAATCCTGCAGGAACCTATGCAATAGTTTGTGCGGTTCCTCACATGCAATGCTAGCATACTCTCCAAACTAAAAGGCATGCTGACCTCTTCTAACTGAGTGAAACGGTCGAAAAATGTCTTTCTCTCCTTCTCGTATTACGATGTGCCTGATACTCTTCAATTCATCACAAGTCGCACAATTAGGAGCTTGTCTTAATTTAATCCTATGAAGGCAGGCACCGCATATGGAGTGATTTGTTCTGATCCGGGCTAACGTAGAAAAGAAACCTTTATTTCCTTTCATGCCTGAGAACCACGGGGTATGATTTGGTTCTGGAACAAGGATTTGTAGAAGGATCCACCTGTCCTATTCACAAACCTTGTTCACCATTTTTCTTTCCATTTTGTATTACATTAATCTTTTAGCATCTGCTTTTGTTAATATGATATTGAGGGGTGCTCCATACACTGACACTAATGAAACCGGTCGGTACGAAATAGGGTAACGAGGTGGTTTGCCGGGTTTTTTAACTAATATTGTTAAAATGTCCTTCCATTTATCTGGTATTTTAGGGCTCATGCAGATTTTATTAAATACTTTGAGGAGAGCTTGCTTGAGGAATCCAGGGAGATTACTGATCATGCTGTAATGTACTTAGTCTATACCCGGGGCACTCTCGCTTGTGTTTTTAGTGGTGAATTAAGATCGCAAAGGTGAATGGGGCTTCCAAGCTGCTGTTATCAGAGCTTGTGTTTACCTCAACATTCTGCTTATTACCTGGGACTTGGGGGCAAAAGCTGTTAATAAATTCTTCAATCTAATGTCCATATACCATGAAAGGTCGTAAAGGAGTGGGAACACTTTTAATTTGCATCAAATATTTTTAATGGGAGTTGCTTGATTAATGGAGGAGCAAAATGTTCTCCATGCTGCTCTTTCTGCTGTACGAAAGGTGTGCCTAAACTCCAGTGAAACCGTTTTTAGCTTTTCGTAATTTTCTAAAGGAGGAATTTTTTTAAAAATTCCGATAAGCATTTTTCCTCCTCGTTAGGCTCTTCTCACAGTTTACATCCCACCATATTTTACCCTTTCCCTTAAAGGAGCCAGTCCTTTTGTTTTGGGGAATACTACGCTGACACACCTTGGACCACACTTCATCCAAAGTGTTGTAATCGAGTGGACCCTCAAGAGCAGGTTTGTATTTTCTCCATGAATCTTTATAAGCTTTCCAATTAGCTTTTTTTTCGTTCCATCTTCCATGCTTTTGAATGACTTGACTTACGGGGTGTTTGTGATATTAAAATAGATAGGAAGATGATCTGATCCAATAGGGTCCTCTAATATATTCCAATTCGTCATAATCGATAGGTCAGAAGACACAAAGTGATGTCAACGGCTAACATCTGAGTATGGTTCGGTAACATAACCTTATTGGGAGATCCATCATTGAAAAATAGTAAATCGTTTTTTTTTCTACCGCTATAATCAATTCCGTCCCTTTTTTTGTCAGTCCAGTCAGATCCTAACGCTACATGATGACCGTTAAAGTTTAGTGCTATCAAGCCCAGTCTACCGGGATTCAGAGTATTAATAGATCAACTCAGTCTCCTAATAAATAATTTTAAGGATGAATTTTCGACAGAGTCTGCTGAATCAGTACCTGAAATCTTAACTGTTATCACTATTAAAAAAAACACTCGCATAACGCGAATTTTATACAGAAATTATGAAGAAAAAAATTAGATTAGTTTTCTGCAAAGGAACGCGCGTTCGATTTCTCCCAAGAAAGATAACCTTGAGCTCATTTTATTCGAAATGAATATAGAGATAACAATAATTTCTGAAACCTGGCTTTCTCCAGATTCCAGATGTGAATTTAGCAATTACTATTTTGTTCGGCTGATAGAAAAGATGGTGTGGGGATATTTGTGTACAGAAGTATTCAGTATAAACAACTAAATATTACAAATGGGTTAATGGTGAGGTTATAATTATTGCTGACTCATCTTCCCTTTATGCCTGGGCAGTATACAAATACAACTCTTTTCGTGATTGGGATACTTTTTTTAAATCGGTAAGCAAACCGTGCGTCATTGCTCTCTTATATAAAATAAGAAAATCCATTCAAGCCAACTAGTCAAAACTTATTGAACCTTGCAGACCGGTACTGTATACTTAAATTCACTAATTTCGTGGTCCGCTAGATCAATTATTATACTACAATTAATTAAGGTATTTAGTTGAGATAAAAAATAATTTTAGATACTTTATACTTTGAGATGACTATTCCGAACTCAAGCCGAACCATACTAGAGTACCACAAGGCAGTGTGTTAGGCCCTGCCCTATATCTGTTTACTAGCGATCTACCAGAATACGAAGAAAATACCACGTCCACATTTGCTGATGTTAAGGCAATTAAGAAAGTTCTCAATCGACTCGTATATTGAACAACTACATTTCCCAAATTTATAAATGAAAACAAAATAGAGAAAAAAATTTGAATAATGAAAATTCTATATGTGACTTCAGCAAAAGTAAAATCCGACGAAGCAAAGTATTTTGTAAGGAAAAGAAGAAGAAGAGGCATGTGAGGTATTAGCAAATGGGAAAAAAATCATAATGTTTATTTATTCCGATTATTTTTTTTACGAGGGTTGCTGGTGTTTTTGAAAAAAAAGCCCCTTTGTAAGTCTGTCGGGGAGGGCCATCTTGTTACACCCGTTCACGCGTCATCCGTCGGGCATGAGAGCAAAAGTAGCATAAAATAAGCTCTAAAATCGAATTGTACAATAAAACTATGGGATTCTTATTTAAAATAACAAAGTTAGTGTCATTTCCCAGCTACAAGAGAAAGTTATTAAATATATATTACCACCACGCGAATCAACGAAATGAGGACCTACTCATTATTAGTCACTGAGAAAGATTTCGGGCTTGTATGACTGATTGTTTATTGTTTGTGAAACGTCTTGTAGTTGTGTATGGCTTCGTCAAGAGGAAGTTGTATATTAAGAACATTGCCATGTCATGATTGGATTGAAAGTTGTCATCAAACTTACTTAAGTGCAGTAATTGGCGTAATAAATGAATTATTACATTCACTAATTTCGTGGTCCGCTTGACCAATTAATATATTACAATTAATTAACGTTTTTAGTTGAGATAAAAAAGTCAATGGCACGAGCGGGATTCGAACCCACGATCTTCGGCTTGATACGCCGCTGCTCTACCACTTGAGCTATCGTGACCTCGATCCACTCGGACACCAACTTCCCATCTCAACCCCACCTTTTGAATT